GTCCCAGGATCAGGTGGGGTGGCTTCTCAATCTTTTTTTCCACCTGTCATGAGCTGGGGCTGGTAATAAATGAGAGAAACTCAACCTTAACTCCACTGCAGCGCATAGAATTAATTGGAGTGATGCTCAACTCTACTCGGGCCAGACCCTTCCTTCCTGAGGCTTGGTTCCAAGCCATGGTGGACCTCATCTCGTGCATGCAAGACCACCCTCTCACCATCGCTCACATGTGCCTGCAGTTTTTGGGACACATGGCAGCCTGCACATATGTGGTCTGGCGCGCATGGCTCTGCCTCAGGCTCCTGCGGGCATGGCTAGCATCTGTCTACATCCTCAACACGCACAGCATGGTCAGGGTTCCAGACCATGTACTGTCCTCACACACCTGGTGGCAGAATCCTGCATCAGTGTTGGAAGAAATCCCTTTCACTGCTTCATCCACGTTGGTGATCCTCATCTCTGATGCATCGGACCTGGGGTGGGGAGGCCACCTGGGCAATCTCTGCATGCCAGGTCATTTGTGCAGTCGCGATGGCACCCTACATTTCAACATCAGGGAGCTTAGAGTGGTTTGCCTGGCCTTCCAAGCCTTCCTACCTCACATAGAAAGCAAGATGGTTCAGGTCCTAACAGACAGCCCAGCAACTATGTTCTATATCAACAAGCAAGGCAGAGCCAGATTGTCTTCCCTTTGCCAGGAAGCCGTCAAGCTCTGGGACTTCTGTCTGCAGCATGACATCTGTCTCGTAGCTGCTCACCTTCCCGGGACCAAGAACACTTTGGTAGATCACCTCAGCAGGATCTTCTCATCTCACCACAAATGGTCCCTCCATCTGGAAGTGGTCAGCTTCATCTTCCACAAGTGGGGAACTTCCCAGGTGGACCTGTTCGTGTCCAGACAAAACAGGAAATGCCACATTTTCTTCTCGATTCGGGGGATCAACAGCGGCTCCCTGTCGGACACTTTTCCGCTCCTGTGCTTGGAGGCTCTGTTTTACACCTTCCCCCCATTATCGTTAATTCAGAGTCCTCATGAAGATCAAGCAGGACAGGGTGAAGATGATCCTCATGGCGCCAGCTTGGCCATGCCAGCACTGGTTCGGCACACTGCTGGATCTCTCGGTGGGTGCTCTGTTACAGCTACTGCTCCGGCTGGACCTGCTGTCCCAAAACCATGGCAGTCTTCTGCATCTGAACCTAGCGGCACTGCACCTGCTGGCATGACTGCTGCATGTTTGAATGAGCAGGAGCAGAAGTGCTCAGCTGATGTCCAACAGGTCCTGTTGGGCAGTAAAAAGCCCTCCACCAGAGCAACTTACCTAGCCAAATGGAAGCGGTTCGCCTATTGGACCTCGATAAGGGCGTTCAACCCGAGCAAACCTTGCTGCTGTTAATCCTGGATTACCTTCTGCATCTCAAGCTCCAAGGCCTGTCCCTTTCATCTGTCAACGTCCACTTGGCTGCTATTTTGACCTTTTGTCCGCCGCTCAAGGGTAGGTCAATTTTCGCTCAGGACAGCCTGGTTCTTCAAGGGCCTTGAGCACCTCTACCTGCATGTCAAGGATCCCGTTCCTCTGTGGGACCTGAATCTGGTGCTGTCGCAGCACACGGAGATCTCCCTCCTCCTCCCCCCGTCTTCCCCCCCAGCCTCTGGCTTCCTGCTCTCTTCTCCTCCTGTCTGGAAGGTCATGTTCCTGATTGCAGTAACATCTGTCCGCCGGGTCTCTGAGATTAGGACGCTCACCTTGGAACTGCCCTCTACTGGTCTTTTACAAAGACAAGGTCCAGCTGAGGCCACACCTGTGATTTCTGCCCAAGGTAGTCCGTTTCATACGAGCCAGGACATTTTCTTACCGGTCTTTTTTTCCAAAGCCACATACGTTGGAGGAAGAGCGTAGGCTGCATTCCCTAGACATCAGGAGAGCGTTCACCTTCTACACTGAAAGGAGCAAGCCATTCTGCAAGTCCTTGCGGTGGATGACCGGGTGAAAGGTCGCACAGTGTCTGCTCAAAGAACTTCTTCTTGGATCACTGCCTGCATTTGCTACTGCTATGATAGGTGAAGGTGCCCCCTCCAGCATGCGTAACCTCCCACTCGACCAGGGCGCAAGCCTCTTCGGCAGCTTTTTTAGCCCAAGTGCCTATGCAGGACCTCTGTAGGGTGGCTACCTGGTCATCCGCCCATACGTTCATGTCCCACTATGCGCTTACCCAGCAGGCCTGGGATGATGCTGGCTTCAGTAGGGCAGTACTACAAGCTGCTAAACTCTGAACTCCAAGCCCAGCTCAGAGGATACTGCTTGTGAGTCACCTAGAATGGAATAGACATGGGCAAACACTCGAGGAAGAAAAAACAATTACCTACCTTTTGTAACTGTTGTTCTTCGAGATGTGTTGCTCATTTCCATTCCGTTACCCGCCTTCCTACCCCTTTTTCAGAGTTGCCAGCAAGAAGGAACTGAGAGGGCATAGGGTTAGCGGCGCCTAATATACTGACACATGAGCGCGGCACTCAAGGGGGCGCCACAGTCAATCCTACAGATACCACTAAGGTAAAAGTCTCCGACAACTGTGTGAGTGGGCGCGCACATACCTAGAATCGAATGGACATGAGCAACACATCTCAGAGAACAACAGTTACAAAAAGTAGGTATGGTAACCATTTTTCCCCTGGTTAAGCCATCTGCGGTACACACTCCCTCCAGTCCCTCTCATTCTGAGGATGATCAGGAAACAAAAAAGAGACAAGGCAACTTTCATCCTTGTAGCACTGGCCTGGCAGGGACAACATTGGTTCCAACCTTAATTAGCTCTCTCTTGGTCACCCATAACTTTCACTGGCTGAGGATCTCCTGGCTCAAAACCAGGACAGGTGTCTGCATCAAAACCTGCAGTCCCTGCACCTCACTGCATCAATGATCTCTGGTTGAGTAATTGTGAGAGATTATGAACCCTAGATGTCAAAGCCAGCTTGGTGAGCAGCAGGAAAGCAGCACCTGAGCCATGTATACAGCAGAATGGAAAACGTTTTTGATCTGGGTGGAATCTCACCATTTACCACCAAATCGCACAGAGATAGTCCAATATATGTATAATCAACTGCATCTAAAATCCTCTGATTTCTCAATTAGTTTTAGTCCACCTAACATGCATCTCTGCCGTGCACCTTCCCATGGATAGTTTCTGTGTTTTCACATCCCGTGGTTTCTAGATTTCTAAGGGGTCTTGTTAATGTGTACCTGCCTGTGTCTGATCTGGTACCGTTATGGGATCTGAATCTAGTACTGTCTTGCTTAAAGGCACTCCTTTTGAGCCCCTGGCAGCAACATTTCTTCTGCTGTTCTCAAAGAAACACAGGGGTTCTTTGTAACAAATTCATGTATTCGGAGAGTTTCAGAGCTTCAGGTGCTTCTAGCTGATGCTCCTTTCACAGTTTTTCACAAAGTTAGTTTCTCTTAGGCTGCAGCCTGAATTTATGCCTAATGTAGTATCAGTATTCCATCTTAATCAGACTGTTAGTCTCCCAGTGTTCTTCCCAAATAGAGCCCTGCTGGGATACAAATTTATATCTGTGGATATAAATTGGTATCCACAGACCTGAAGGGCTCTAATGGGAAGTGTAGTGGTGAAAAGAGCAGTACTGTTGGGCTGCTGCTTCCAGGAACCAGTGCCCCATGCTCACAGCTCCTCTGACATGACTCTACTGGCTGCAGCCGTACCAGGCTCACTGGCTGCTGTCCCTGGTCACACTAGTGTGTTCGGGCGGCTCACACACCCCCTGAACAGGAGACGCAGACCGCTGAGTGGAAGTGATTCTTGTCTGGGAGCGTGCGTGCCACTTGAACGCACCAGCGCGACCAGGGACAGCTGCCGGTGAGTCTGGTGCCCGCCCCAGTGGACAGGGCTCGGAGCAGTACAGCCATGCCAGAGGAGCTGCTGGTGCTGGGTGCTGGCTCCTAGGAGTGGCAGCCCAAAGTGCTGCTCCTTTCACCACTGTGATTCCCAGTAGAGCCCTGCAGCTCTACAGATACAGATTTTTATGTCCACAGATATGAATTTGTATCCGCGCAGGGCTCTATTCCCAAGCCCTCATTCTCAAGGCTGAAGAAAAGCTTCACTCCTAGTGTGTTTGCAGTGCTTTGGCATTTTACCTGGACACTAGTTTTTCACAAAGTCTTGCAGGCTGTTTATAGCCTGTGCTCAGCATCTCATTGGATTTTGGACTGCAGATTTTGCTATGATCTTACGGTCTCTTCCACTATGGGTAATGGCACATTCCACTAGGGCTCATTCCACTTCATCAACCTCCCTAACCAGCATTCCTGTAGTGGACACCTGCAAAGCAACAGTGTGGTTGGTACATGCCTTCTCCAGATGCTGATGTTAATGTAGTGTAATAAGTTGGTGCTTCAGTTTCTTTTCAAATAATCTGAAGTCCCTCCACTTGTAAGGAAACTGCTGGTGAGTCACCTGCAGTGGAAAGTATATGTGCATAATCATTGGAAGATGAAAAAACGGCTTCTTAACTGTACAGTAACTATTCTTTGAGATGTGTTGTGCACATATACATTCCCTGCTAATTCAGGCATTAGACAGCAGTGAAAAAGAGTAGAGGGAGGGGGCAATCATGCCCCTTTTATGCTCTACCTTGTGGTACAGCGGGCAGAGATCTCATATTTGAGTGCATTGGGTGTGCACGCTTGCAATGGAATGTATATGTGCACAACACATCTTGAAGAACAACAGTTAGTGTACATGTAAGTAAATGTTTTTTTCTGTATTCAGTATGTCATTTCACATTATGGGCTTCACATCAGACACTGTTAATCAGATTTGTGTCTTCCACAAAACCTAGCATTGCAGTGAGTGGTGTAAGCGCAATATGTTTGTCTCTTTTATATAGAGTGTGTAGGGGGTGTTTTCAACAGCTTTCAAATTTTACAGCAGATTCCTTGCTTCTGGCCATTACTCCAACTTTGCATGTATTTATTTTTCAAAAGTTTTCAAACCTGAAGAGTTGCGGCAGGCACTTATGCCAACACTGGAGGCGCTTTACCGGCAGGATCCTGAGTCCCTTCCTTTCAGACAGCCTGTGGACCCCCAACTACTAGGAATTCCTGTAAGTTTATTATCAAACTGTTTCCCTGCTTTTTAACTCCTAGCTTCTACTCCAGGACTTGTCTGCCTGAGGAGACCAAATGGCCTGCTGTAGTCCTGTCTCCATTTTTATATAGATGGTTTGGAAGAGTTTGGATTTAGGATTGGCATGTACCACATCTGTGGCATAGAGAAACTTATTTTTAAGGCTTATTTTTCTGTCTTCTGTTAAAGAGAAAATAAAAGAATGGGAAGACATCAAATTATTCTTATTGATGGAATCCTACATATACTGGCTTTTGCTGGACATTTGCAAACTGTCCTGTTTTTGCAGTGTCTCAAAGTCCTGGGAAACCAGGGAAGCCGTTCTCACCCTAAGTATGTGGCAACAGTTTAGTTTCTCAACTGTTCAGGAAGCTTATCAACGCTAAAATTTTTTGGAAAATTCATTTAAACAGTAACTTACATCATGCACTGTTAAATGCTATAGAAGTAGGGAAAAAAAAAACCCAGGTCAAGGTGGTTGGATCTAGCCAGTGCTTTTTGCAGCACATGATATTAAAACTGTGTGATTTAATTATTAACCAATTAGGAGTGCTTTTACTATTATTAACCAATTAAGTTATCAGTTCGCACAGATTATTAGCTTATTTGATGTGAGAATTATATGCAACACTAAGTATTTCCCCTGTTGTGCTGTTCAAATATGACCAATACTGTAGTAAATGAAACTACTAATTCACACTACTGTGGCTCTTTTGGGTAATGTTGATTGCTAATTTGGCTCCTGAACCAGAGGTCTGAGTATCATTGCGATAGACTAATTTCATTTCCTTGGTGCACACAAATATACCATGTATCAAAGGTTAAAACTCATGACAGCATCCTGCTTCAGGTGCTTTGGTCCACAATTCCTGCAAAGACCTGTTCAGTATGTACAGTCATTGTTCTATTTCACATGACTTCAATTTCAGTATTACACTTTCAGAACAATACTAAATTATATAATTGAATATCAAAATAAATAGATACACAATAAAAGTATGTAATAGAATAATAGTGATTGTAAATGTGGGCTTCTAGTCTCCCTGGCCATCTTAGTTTCTTGGATACTTTACTTTGCCCTTCCAACCTTGAAAATAATGGAAGGAAGGCCCTACATGGGTGGGACGACGTTGCTGAGAGAGCGCACTGTATGTCACAAATAGTCCATGGTTGGCATTACTCAGCTCTTTTTTGTTCTAGGGTTGGTACTTCTAATGCTTGCAAGAGTATTGAAGAGGAATCTTGCTAAAGAACACACACGCTATCATGTTGTAATACATTTTCTCTGATCTTGTTTGAAATGCCGCTCATTCTTGCAGGATTACTTTGATATAGTAAAGAACCCCATGGACCTCTCTACCATCAAGAGGAAGCTAGACACAGGACAGTACCAGGAGCCGTGGCAATATGTGGATGATATCTGGCTCATGTTCAACAACGCCTGGCTCTATAACCGCAAGACATCCCGCGTGTATAAGTACTGCTCCAGACTGGCAGAGGTGTTTGAACAAGAAATTGATCCTGTTATGCAGAGCCTTGGTTATTGCTGTGGGAGAAAGGTAAGGAAGGGCAACTTCCTTAAACCTTTTTCCCATCTCCATGTGTAATATATAATATGAAAGAGCATAGGAGCAGCAGTCAGTGGGAGCTGTTGGTGCTCAGAACTTCTGCAAATCAAGCCACTTATTTAAATATTTAAGGGCAAAAAAAAAGTCAGTGAATCTGAGACCTGTCAGCCGGCTCAGGCTATGGAGCTAAAAATAGCAGTGTCAATGTTCCCGCTCGGGCTCGGAGACCCATTCCCTTTTGCCAGGTTTCAGAGCCTGTGCTCCAGTCCAACCAGGAATGTCTGCGCTGCTGTTTTTAGCCCTGTACCATGAGCCCAGGTCAGTTGAACCAGGCTCTAACACTTGCTAATGGAATTCTTTGCAGTGTTAGATGTGACCTTAGACTCTAATTTTAGGTGTCCATTTTAAAATCTTGGTCATAAAATATCTAATACTACACAAACGGCTTAAAACCAACATTTTTTTATTTTATACACTAGAAGCAAGCTTGTGAGGATATGTATTAAGGCTAAACATAGTTTGGAATCGGTACATCAGCTTTTCTGAGTGTTATAATAAAGTGATCTCTCTGTGGTATTATATAATTGACTCACCCAATCATGGAATAGGGAAGTGGATTCCCTGCTGGGGAAAAGTGTATAAAGAAATGGCTAACTTGTAAATGACAGCTGAACAGAATATTTTTATAGTGTTAACATTCAATATAGACTCTCATACGGTACTGTTCAGATCTGTGCACAGAATGGTGCAGTTTTAGTAATCCAGATCTTCGCTGTATGGGTCATACCCACTTCTCAGGGAGAGCCAGTGGAAACATGCATGAATACTAAGAAAGTTTCTCTTTCTGCAGTTAGAGTTCTCGCCACAGACTTTGTGTTGCTATGGCAAACAGCTGTGCACAATCCCTCGAGATGCCACTTATTACAGTTACCAGAACAGGTAAGTAAAACTGGTTACAGCATGCATCACCAATCAATCTATGGGCAGAAGCATGCCTGTATATGTATGCATCCTTCATACATGTGTATACCTTCATGTCACATTCTAAATTTCTGGAAATATCTTGAACAGCTTACATTGTGAACTAGCAAGCTGCCATTCTGCAAAAAAGCTTGTTGCACCCTTTGCTCTTATTCCTTTGTCTTCCAAAAAAAAAAAAAAAAACACACTTGTGGTATTCAGTAGATTTTTATCCTGTAGTTAGATTTTGTTTTCATCAGTATATTATGCTATCATAAATTATATCGCCCTTCCTCCTTGCCAAACAGTACACAACAATCCTTCAGCAGATAAGTTAGTAACTTTTTTTGTGCAGTGAACTTCTGATCATATTCAGCAAGTAACTGGTTCTCTGTGCTATTGTTATGAAGAATTTTGCAGTGAATAACATAGCTGTCTTTGACACATACTTCATTAATTATTCAAACCTTGCTGAGGGAATTAGTGCTTTTATCATCACAAGCCCCCTTGAGTGAATTGTTGCGTTTCTGTGGCTGTCAGCAACAATATAAAATACTGTCACTTCCAAAACTCTCTTCCTGGCTAGTATGTTTGACCTGCAGTTTATTAAAGGATTAAAACCTCTTTGACTTCCCAGGGAAGGTTTCTTGCTAGATATTTCTTATTATCCTGAAAGAACACTATGCTTAACATTCAGGCATGGCAGCCCTTGGTTTGTTACTAAACGCTTCAGTCTAAACAGAGGGATGGAGATATCTTCCAGTTATGCCACCTTTTATTCAGTGTGGTTCTTGCTTTCTGTTCTCTGGTCTGGCACCTTCCAAAGAAATAAGTTTTTCATCCTGAAGCCAGCCAGGTCTTTCAGGAGAGGAAGTATATTCAGCCTGTAGGGGTGGAAAGAATTATTGAGAATCTGCAGAACAGTAGTTGCATCCAGCCCTCTTTGACTGCAGGGAGAGGGTTGCTGCAATGCATCAAGGGAGGTTTTTAGGGGTAGGAATGGAGGAGTGGAGAAAAGAGGTCATAGTGTCTCATAAAAAGAAATCTGAATCTGAAGGTTCAGTAGTTTTATATGCAAGAACATTTCATGCCATGAGTCAATAGTTTTTCTTCATGTGCCGTCCTTTGGTGAGCACTAAATGGACTGGAAGAATCTTCTTCCTAAACCCACACTTGCTTTCATAACTTGAGTGTCATTCACTTCTGATCTTTAAATAAATGTGTGTATGTAATATATAAACTGTGCATATATAATATATGTTTAAGTAAAATCATGATTCAGCTTCCATCTGTAATGGAGGGAGCTCAGAGAGGATAAAGTGACCTCTTTAGCTTTACAGATCCCATAGCGTTGGTTTGTGTTGCTTTATGATAAACTGTCACAGCTTGTTTTGTTTTATTCTTTGTTCCTTTTGTTTTTAGATGTTTTGTACACTCCAGTTAACATGATTAGTAATGGAGAGACTGTAGTTTCAATAGACTTTTGAGGGGTGGGGAACAGATCTTGAATAAAACACTCTAGTTTCATTCAAATACAAATAAACACCACAGAATGGCTTCATTTTGTTGATATCTAAACTATTTTGTGTCTCAAAATTGGGGTATGGCAATACTGTGTGAATCTAGAGCAGTATGAATGCAATTAATACATTTCAAATACCTGTGTTACATATAATTTGACAGACCTAAAACAAATGGATGGTGGTGTTGAGGACTGATTACTGTCCCTTTAAATTGATGGAAGTGAGACTCTTGTAGCTTATTGCAAGTCATGGGGTCCACTTCAGTGAGGAGAGAATCCTGTGGCCCTTCAGTCTTTGAGTGTTTTTTTTAAGGTGGAAGATTCCCCCTTCTGGTCATCTCCTAGCAGATGCTCTTGCAGACAGAATTGCTATCCTGATACAGATGCCAGAGTAGCAATCCATCCTTCCTTCTACCCTCTTCCCTTTCCTCATTTTGATTCTTTGCTTTATATGGCATTGCTTTTTAAAATGAAGAGGGTGCGGGTATGCTAAAATGGAATACTCTTTTGTTTTATTTGCTATAATCAGTTGCTGCTTGTGATTCCATTTGAGATTTAATGCTAATCTGTGCTTTGCCTTGGCTTTCTGCTTTGTGTTGTCTTGTCCTGCTTTTGTGTTTTTTGTTTTTGTCCTACAACCCCCATTTCTTTGTTTGTTCGTGTGTGTGTTATTTTTTTATTTCTCCTTCATGCTTGTCGTTGTCTGCACTTGGCTTTGATTGCAAAAAAACCAAACCAAAAAACCAAACCAACCAAACACAAACTGTGGGGCCCATAAATCTACATCATTGAATATCCCTGTCGCCGTTGATGACCTGCTCTCTGCTCCCGTCCCCTCCTTGGCCTGCTGTGATTGGTGGCTCCGTTGCTTGGCTTGGGCTGTGTTGTGTGGACGGAACAGTTCACCCAAATATGGCCTTCTTGCTGACAGGTATCATTTCTGTGAGAAGTGCTTCAATGAAATCCAGGGGGAGAGCGTTTCTCTGGGGGATGACCCATCACAACCGCAAACGTGAGTAGCCATATATCTGCTTGGGATAGTTATTTATATATTTTTGTGATAGTTCTGATCTATAGCATGGTCTAAAATGCACTCCCAAAGGTTAGGAAGTACCTAGGCAATGAAGGGGTTTGCTTTAATCTTACTTCAAGAGTTGGACCAAATATAGAGCGAGGGAAGAAGCTTGAAAATCTGGATTTTATCATAAGTGTGGGTGAGGACACCTGTCTTTCAAATCCTGGACAATACTATGGTAAGGGGAAAGGAGTAATCACCTCTTTCAAAACTTATACTATTAGGGAAGGAAAGGAATATCACTTTAAAAAGAGGTCAGGAAATATCTTCACGTGAAAATTGACAGTTTTTAGAGGGTAGGGTGCATAGCAAACATCCTTCTAGATCTCAGCCCTTCTGCTTTTGGGAGGGTTTTTCTGTTCACTCTTCTGCCTTGTTCTCTGCCTAAAACTACAAGCAAGAATAACTCAGTTTTACCATTCAGATATTTAAGACCCTTTTTATTGGAGCAGCATCTTATAATCATGTAAGACAGAGGTGGGCATACTTTGTCCTGGGGCCACATCCGCCCCTCCAGACATTTTAATCCAGCCCTTGAGCTCCCGTCGGGAAGCAGGGTCTGGAACTTGCCCCGCTCCGGTGCTCCAGCTGGGGAGTGGGGTCGGGGTCTTGCCCCACTCTGCACGGCTGCCGGAAGCAGCAGCACGTCCCCCCTCCGGCTCCTACATGTAGGGGCAGCCAGAGGGCACCGCATGCTGCCCCCACCCCAAGCGCCATCCCCGCAGCTCCCATTGGCCAGGAACCGCAGCCAATGGGAGCTGCAGGGGCAGCGCCTGCAGACAGGGCAGTGTGCAGAGCTGTCTGGCCGCACCTCCGTGTAGGAGCCAGAGAGGGGACATGCCGCTGTTTCTGGGAGCTGCTTGAGGTAAGCGCTGCCCGGAGCTGCCCCCTTGACCCTCTCCCATGTCCCAACCCCCTGCCCCAGCCCTGATCTCCCTCCCACTCTCCAAACCTCTCTGTCCCAGCCCAGAACACCTCCTGCACCCCCAACCCCTCATCCACAGCCCCACCCCAGAGCTCACACCCCCAGCCAGAGCCCTCATCCCCTCCTGCACCCCAATCCCCATTTTTGTAAGAATTCATGGCCCGCCATACAATTTCCATACCCAGATGTGGTCCTCAGGCCAAAAAATTTTCCCACCCCGATGTAAGAGATGCTGCACAGTTGCTGATGGGCAGACGTTTTGGAGAGCTTGACATGGATTTAATTGGCTTTTGTATAGTAATAGTAGTGAAAGTGATGCTCTGACAACTGCTAAGACATTGTTTGCTTCCTCATGGCTTGCAACAGAGAATTCCAGTGAGGAAGGAAACCAATAGGATGAGCAGATGAGTGCAGAGTTGTTAGTTTGCAGATCAGGGCGAGTATTGGACTCTCCAGGGAAACTCCTTGGGGCAAGGTGTCAAGTAGATTCTATAGGGGGAAAGAGAGAGGGAACTCTGAAAATTCTGAATCTGGGTGATTGGAAACTGGCATATAGAAAGGAAGGTACAAGATGATGCCTTCGACTGGAAGCAAAAGTTGTCAAAAGCAGGAAATGGCCAAATCTTGGTCACAGTAAGGGATATGCTACTATTTAGAGTAGCTGCAGAGGGATCATTTACACCTAGGGTCGCTGTGGGAGCACTTGTCAATTTTCTGTGGGTCAGAGAGAGGAACTGGGTGTTGTGGCCTTGGTGTGCTAGTCAGCATTTCCAGTAGTGTCCCTAGAATTCCAATAGTGTCCCTAGGAGTAATGGTCTCAAGTTGCAGTGGGGGAGGTTTAGGTTGGACATTAGGAAAAACTTTTTCACTAGGAGGGTGGTGAAGCAATGGAATGCGTTACCTAGGGAGGTGGTGGAATCTCCTTCCTTTGACGTTTTTAAGGTCAGGCTTGACAAAGCCCTGGCTGGGATGATTTAGTTGGGGATTGGTCCTGCTTTGAGCAGGGGGTTGAACTAGATGACCTTCTGAGGTCCCTTCCAACCCTGATATTCTATGATTCTGTGAATCAAGGGTAACAGTTTACTCACATTAAACAAGTTTTATAATAATCTGAGATCTGTAAGACTTCTAGAACATATGAACTGCCACTTGCCAATCAGCAATGTATAAACCACCTTGCACATAAATTAGGCAAGTGAATAGCACAATTTGCAAAAGTGTCAAGTAGAATGAAGAAAGGTGGCCCTCTGTGGTGAGTGCGGCTTAATTTCTGTACACCAAATTTGGTAATATAATTGCAAATACAAATAGTTGAACTGTATTCATTATTAAATTTAACTAGTAAATGGTGTTGAAATGTCTATTGACAGTAGTAAAATGAAGAAAATAATTTATAATTTGTGGTGTACTCCCCCATCCTATAAATAAGTGGCTACTACATAATGAATTTGAAAGTCGTCTCCTTCAAATGAGTCAGTAGTTAAATTTTTTGGTATGCCACCACTCCTTGTTTCATATTAATTTTGGTGCAGCCTGTAAACTCATTGGACTCAAAGTAATGGGACCTCTCTCCCTATCGTCTCCCCCGACAGCATGTTTTTAGAAGAAAAGGGTTGGGAGAGAATATTAATAAAACCAGAACTTTTTGATGTGTGAGATGAGGAATAGCATGCAACTTCTGAGATGATAGGGAGGGTTGGCCCTTTTATATAAATCTCATATTTTTGGGGAAGGATGACTGCATCTTGCAAAACCCAGGCTGAACCCTGAAATAGAGGGAGTAGGAAGGGGAAGCAATCCCATGCAACTTGGACTGATTCCCTGTTCCTATGATAACTTCAGTGCATGCTTCTCTCCACACGCTCAACCCCTCCAAATCGCACAGCTCTACTTACTGAAGTTCAGTGTGGTTTTAGGTATTGATAGTTCAAAGCTACTTAGTTCTTTGGACCAATGTTACTATGCCATAAGCCACGTCCCAGATATTCATGGCTGGGACCCCATCACCAAAAGACTCATAAAGGTTGGAGGGATTTTTCTGTTAAATAGATGGGTAAAAAGATATAGTCAAGATTAAGTGAAAAGCGATACAGTTGGGTACCAGTGCCAGGCTGCCGGGGGAAGCAGATGTTTCTTTTTGAAGTGTTACTCCAGGAGAAGGCTATTATAACTGGTCTCATTGTGGAAGGGGTCTGAATAACCCAGGTTGTTTTTGAGAATAGAGTATTCCCTACACAATAATAGCTTATACCAGTTTTTCCATAGATCCTTGTAGGATCCTCATAGAGGAAAGATATATTTCATAAACTAACCCAAAACTAAATTTTAAAAGGCTTTCAAAAAATGAAATGTAAAACTGAGCCCCAAACTGAGATAGCTATATGCCATTCCAGGGTGTGCATTTAGATTACTGGTGCACTTCTCAGATTCAAATCTACCTGAGGCATGCACTAGTAGTCACTCTCCAATAGAAGAGCATCCTTGCCGCAGGGAGGAGTAAACACATACTTTGTGCTCAGCCATCTCATTATGAACTCTTTCTTATTCCTTTCCTCACAGCATCATAAACACTTAAGAAATCCAGTTACAGTGAATGTGCCTGGGTACGCTCAAGATGTGGGAAATTAGTGTACTATGAATGCTTATCTTATGTCACAACTAAGTTATCATCTATCTCTTTCTCCTTAGTACGATAAACAAAGAACAGTTTTCTAAGAGGAAAAATGATACACTAGATCCTGAACTGTAAGTAACACTCTGGCAACTCAACTTACTTATTTTTAAATCTATATCCCCATTCTCCTTGTTCACCCCCTGTGGAAAAACCCATCACTTCATAGTTTTCTTAGCTTAATGCTGCTCCATTAGTTGGCCAGCAGGGGCTGGTGGGCAAGCACCAAGTTTTGCATTCTGTCCTGAGACTCCAGATCATCACAGGTCTACCTAAGAAAATGAAATCCTGAGGTTATGGACTGCTGGACTTGCAGAGTCCATTTCACTCTTCTTGAATTCTGATGTTTGATAGAAAACTGCATGCAGATAGCTGTGCTACTTGAAGCTCTTTCTTTTGGTGTAGTTCAGGGGTGGCCAAACTTACTGACCCTCTGAGCTGCATACAACAGTCTTCAGAAGTTCAAGAGCCATGGCACACCTGATGGGGCTTGGGGTTTCAGCTCTGTGAGAGGCACCTCATGGGGCTCGGGGCTTCAACCCTGCTCCTGCTGAAGCCCTCTGCCCCAGCAGGTGCACCCTGTGGAGCTAAAGCCCCGAGACCCACCTCCTCACAGGGCAGAAGTCCCCCACCACCACCCCGCTGCAAGGCAGAGGGCCAAACCCCTCCTTCCCTCCCCTCTTACCCCCTGGTAGGTGGAGAATGGGTAGGGGCTCAGCGAGCCACACTTCAATGGTAAAAGAGCTGAATGTGGCTCATGAGCCACAGTTTGGCCACCCCAGTACAGTGCATGGAGAGGTCAAAATTAATATCAGATCATTCTGCAGCAGCATTTTTCTGCTCTTGGTTTCTATAATCTTCCTACTTTGCAGGGAGCTATACCAGAAGGACAGGGTATGTTAAATTATACAGAGTTGGCTGCTATTCTAGCCTTCTTGCTGGAGAAACAGTAGTGGACATTCAGGTGCTGGAGCCAGTGGTGACCAGATAGCAATCTGTTTCCCCTACATCTCACCAGTGCTTTTTTTATCACCTTTTAGCCCCTTAATCCAGATCCTAATTCAGCTACCCACATTGCAGCTGCTAAAATGTCTCTTAATTTCTAATGACTAGGTCAGAGGGGCACATGCCTACCCTGGGATCAGTCAGTGTTGCTTTTCAATTTGGCAAAGGTCATGGAAGGAAAGACTGGAAATGTGGCTCATAACCCTATCCCTTCCATCATTGTAGTAGTACCTCTGCAGTCCAAAGAGTAAAATTCAGAGGCTGCTTCTGATCTCAGGCATCTAGCACAAATGACACCGGTCCACCCTTAGATCTCTGAACTCTCAAGGAACAGGGTCCCTGTCTCCCTTTGATTCTTTGTGTTAGGGAAGGCATGAGGTACGAGTTTTAGTAAACATTTATCTTTGAAATATTGCTAACTTAAGTAACCCTGTAATTAGTGTCATTGATTTAATGTGCTCTCCCTACTTATTTTCTGACATCCAGGTTTGTTGAATGTATAGAGTGTGGGAGAAAAATGCACCAGATCTGTGTGCTTCATAATGAAATAATCTGGCCATCTGGGTGAGTTTCTTGCTGTTTTTCCTTCCATGCTTGAATAGATGACATTTGGTTGCTATACAGGTGTTGATGTGTATATACCTATATTTTGATATATTACTTATATATATATAAAATATGAGAGACATTCCATTAGCTGTTAAAATTTTAAACAATATCCATGCCAATGTCAAGTAAACTTAAATAATGGATGGTGTCTTGATTTAAAATGTTCTGCATTTCTTACCATTGCTGATCACTAGGATACCTTTATGTAAAAGAAGAACTTCTAGATATTAGTTCAGTAAGTCATGATTGTCGTTAACCAGGAATGCTGATGTCATAATTACTAAATTGCCATTGCTTTATGTTGGTCTGTTTTCCTTACTCTTTGGGATATGTGTTTCTGTGTTATATAAACTTCAGTTTAAACACTTGCATCGCTGAAGAATAGAACTGGCAGACTGTATCTTCTTGACCCCAGCTAGTGAGCAGTTTACATCCTGAAAAGGTCTAAACCTCCAATTTTATCTTAGCAGGACTTGCTGTAGATCTTTCTTAATCAGGAAACTCAAAAATACAAAAGACTTTAGTAAACTTAAATTCTATTAGTATTTCCTAGTTATAGTGATTAAGATAACAAATGATCAATTATAATTCTGGTGTAAGTAAATTTCTGTAAAAAACTCAAATAGTTTGTTCTGATTGCACAATTTGGGGATTTGCCATTTTGCTACTCCTATTCCTCTTTTTATAAGGGTGGTTGGCCCTGAACTGCTTGGGGAAGAATCCTACAGTTGTCTGGAATCTTTGTGTACTAGAATCCTAGAATTTTCTATATCATATCAGACCATTAGTTCCTCTAAGCAGGATCCTGTCTCCATTAGTGTTAATACCTGAGGTTTCAGAGGAATAAGCTCATATTGTAAAGGTCAACTGTGTTCATGCTCTGGTCATTCAGCTTTCTCCTATTCTGTCTTGAAAAGCTCCAAATGTTAAGATGACAGTAACTTTCCACTGGTAGAGTTACTGCCATTCTCTTCCTTCTGTCCTCAGTTTTATCCAAAATTTTCAGTGTGGCTGTTCCCTAGTCTTCAACATCTGGTAGAATGTTTTCTTTCTGATATTTCAAACCCATGTCATGAATCTTACTATGAGTACCTTAAAAAAAAAAAAAAAAAAAAAGAGGACTTGTGGCACCTTAGAGACTAACAAATTTATTTGAGCATAAGCTTTCGTGAGCTACAGCTCACTTCATTGGATGCATTCAGTGGAAAATACCTTAGCAGCATTAGGTATGGGGTTATTCATTCCTTTTTCTCGTTTCCACTTCAGCTTTGTGTGTGATGGCTGCTTAAAGAAAACAGGACGAACCAGAAAAGAGAACAAATTCTCTGCTAAAAGTAAGTTCTCCTGATACTTGTTCAGAGAACATTTCAGGTGTATTAGCTAAGTGCTTAACAATGTATTGGGAGAGAGGGGAAACTTTCCTGTCCCTCTTGTATTTTTTTAAGAATTTTAAGCTTTTACTTAAATTCTGGGATTCCATGTGTTTTGGGATAGAGATGGGAAGATAATTTCAGCCAGATCACTTCCCTAGTATTTATTCAAAATGCACACATCCAACTTATTAATCAGTACCAGGTTTACAATGGCTGCTGCTGGGCCCATGCTCAAAAGAGGGCCTGGCCCACTCCACTTGCGCTGTGCACGGAGCAGCTGGCTCCTCTCTATCCCCGGCTCACGACCACCCCACCACTCGCTCCTCTTGACCTGCCAGCCAGGGCTTCTGTCTGCCCCTGGCCCCGCCTGCTGGCCCCTTCCCACCCCCTGGCCCCTCCTCCCAGCCCATTGCTTGCTCCTTTTGGCCGGCTGAGGGCTCCTCTCTGCCCCCGTCACTGACCAGCAGCTGCCAGTGGAGACTGGGGCAGAGGGGAGGCAGCTGCCACTCCAGGCTGGTGACCATCTGCTTTGGGCTCCCTGGGGCAGGGCCTTCCTCTCCCTGCTGCTTTGTGGAAGCATCTGGCTGGGGAAATTGGAGGCTGCCCTTCTCCCACACCGCTCCATTGCCCATGCAAGGAAATGTCTCCTCCACTGTGAGCACCATCAACACCAGGCGGGTAGGGTTGAGTGGGGCCACTCTTTGCTCCCAAGTTTCAGCTGTCCTGACCCCTAGCACTGTGCTGGCAGGGGCAGGGTGTGGGTCTGTGATGGGGGGGATGCTGAGATGTGAGGGGGTAGGAGGCTCTGGGCAGTGGGGGAGGTTTGTGTGTTCTGGGGTGCTAGGCAGTGGGGTCTGCTTGGGGGGGGGGTGCTGTGTAGTTGTGGTGGGGCTGTGGGGAAGGGTACTGGGCAGTGGTGGGGGGGAGATCTGTGTGTTGGGATGCTGGGCAGTGAGGGGTCTGTGTGTGGTGCTGGGGAGTTGTAATGGGGCTGACTGCGGGGGGGGGTGCAGAGCGCTGTGCATTTGTTGGGGGGGGGAGGGGAGATGCTCGGTGGGGTGGTTGTGTGGTACAGCATGGACCCGCACGGGGAAGGGGCACCTTGGCAGCACAGGGATTGGCGGGCCAGTGTGCATCTGGCAACTGCCAGTTTGTAAACACTGCCTTCACACTGGGCAGAGTGGGGTCGCCCACGCCATGCCTTGCCCCCAGCCGGCCTCTTGCTCCAAGGCCCTCATAGGGGCCCACAAATATGTTTTGTGCCAGGTCAACAAAAGATTAATCCGGCCCTGTTACTAATATAATGGTTATGGGGACTGTTAATGTGGGATACAGAGCCTTTTACCTCAGTCACTAATATTACTAGTGTTGGGGAGTGGCTCCTCTATGATTGCTGTCTTGCTTAAATGTGAAGACAATACATTCAAGTCATCCCCGAAGTACTGTTCCCTCTAAGCTGTGCGCGTGTGCGCACGCACACAGATCCAAATCCTGCGCACATGGTTAAACACCACATGCACAAAAAATGAAATACTCACTTGGGCGCATTTGCCTTATGGCGCACAAATTTGAACTCTGCTTCAAATATTTGCATAGAAGAAATTTTTTGCGCCATGGCTTGTCAAAAATTAGAGGGAACATTGTCCCACAGCTGGCACCTCTAGAAGTCTTGGCAGAGCAGACTATTTGGTTTTGACCACAGAAACAAAACCACTCTTTACTAGAGGTGGCTTCTCCTTGGGCAGGATTGATATCAGGATGAAGGCAAAGTGTGGGAAGCTTGTACTGTCATTGTCTGTTCTTTAGACGGAGATGATTTTGAAAGCTTTTCAGTCTGACTCCTTTCACTCAGCTTTAAATTGCATTTTTAAAAGTTGAGTAAATAGTTGCATTTAATTTTGCTCATATTCATAAAAACAGCCCAAACAAAACTTGACTGACACTGGGGTGTTAGCAATTGCACAGTATAAAAGTTCTATCTTTGTAGTGAGCTTTTCTGACAAAGGGCAAGGAGGAGATTTAGAGAACTGAATTGTCTTGAAATGTTGAAAAAATAGTTGGGTTTGCATCTTAGCCATCCCAGAGCTTTTTTCTTCAACTGCATTCTCATAAAATGGAAACCAACCCACTTTGAGACTAGTGCTTCAAGTTAGACCATCTGTATGCTTTTTCCATAATCCACGTGTCCTGGATTTACTGAGAACACTGTGAGGAATGGGAGGGCTGCTTCCAATTTTGTTTAATTAGCTGGGGTTTCCAGTTACTTACTTACAAATTTTACTCTCAATGCTGTTGTGCAGTGGGGATTTTCAAGAATGTGCCAAATGTGAAAATGGGAGGCTGTGGACAAGAAACTGTTAATATTGCAGGAGTATCTACAGGCTCAAAAAGAGATTGAGGCCTCTTTGTGTTCTTACGTGGACTATCAGTTTCAGATACTCCTTCAGATGCCTGTATACTTGCTCTTCCTTTGTTTAGGTTTTGTTTGAAAGGAGAGATGACTGTAATCCTTGTGGATATAAATGGAATAGTTCTATTTAGAAGGGGTTTTTATTTGTCCAAAAAGTGCGAATTTCTCTTCAAGAGAATGAGGGTATGGACAGTATCAGCTAGAACCTGACAGGGATAGGCAGCCTGAAACTTCCACAGGCAGCACCTCCGATTTACTCTGGTCCTTGGCCCATTCTGCCAGTGCCCTTACTCATAATCTAATACATGAATAGAGAAATAGAATTTGAAATTCCAGTTATGCATATGTTAAGAGTTTTATTGTTTGTGCAGGGTTGCCATCTACAAGGCTGGGTACCTTCTTGGAGAACAGAGTGAACGAATTTCTGAGAAGACAGAATCACCCTGAGTCAGGAGAGGTCACAGTCAGGGTGGTTCATGCCTCTGACAAAACTGTAGAAGTAAAACCTGGAATGAAAGCAAGGTACATCCCTTCAAGTCCTAATGTTGCCTGCTCCCAGCATCATCCCAAAAGATAGGTGTTTGAGTTTTCTACATTTGCTGCTATTTGGCAACTGCAAAGTGTGTCTAGTATTCAGAACACCACCAACACAGCTTTCTTGATTGGCTGTCAGTGATGTCACACCCACTTATATTAAATTGCATGAAGTATATTAAAGTTCTGGAGATTAAAACTAAACAATTTTAAAACAAAGCTGTGTTCCATTGTATTGTAGCTTTGATTATTTGTATTTGTTGCTTTCTAGTTTTGTCCTTTATGTAAACACTAAAATCCCTCCACTCCAGAAAGATTGAGATGAAAAGTGAACAAACTTTCAGGATAACTTGGGACACTTTTCCTTCTCTGGGATATAGTTGTTAGTGTTTGCTTTCCCATTGCCTGTGACAAATGGCTCTGACCATGCGTTGCAAATCCTGTCTTAATTACTATCTTTATGTATCACCATGTGGTGTTCTCTGTCCTGATGGAATGAAAGTATTTATTACTCTCCTCTTTATCTTATGATATCTGCAGGTTTGTAGACAGTGGAGAGATGGCAGAGTCCTTCCCTTATCGAACAAAAGCCCTGTTTGCTTTTGAGGAGATAGATGGTGTAGACTTGTGCTTCTTCGGTATGCATGTACAGGAGTACGGCTCAGATTGCCCCCCGCCCAATCAGAGGTGAGGAACTGCAGTGCCAGTCAAGGGAGGTTAAATTTTACTTTGCTCTGAAATCTCAGTGGGATAAACCTTCTGAAGTCCCAGATTTAAAACTTTAATGCAGCATAATTAAATTTTGTTATTCATAATAGTATATCCCAACACAAAACAGTTACAACAATATGGTTATAGTAAGAAGGAGTTGAAGATAGGTAGGTGACAGAATGGGCATTTGGTTATGGTATTCCAGCAGCTGGAAAGAGATGGATTTTGGAGTCTAGTTTGTAAAGAAACAGGGAATCAGTGAGGAAGAGGGAGCAGACTGTTCTAGAGAGAGGGGGAGGTCAAATTTGGAAACCAGAGGTGATGTAAAGGAATGTGAGTTCCTGGAGGTAGATGGGACCCGTAGCCTTTGAAGACAGTGGCTTGTGCATTAGGTACTTCAAGGACCGAAAATACCATGGATTAATGTATATAAAGGCTGTGAAATACTTCTGGCCTTCTGTTCTGTAATGTCATGTATTTTTTTTTCCCCATCTTTGCCTAGGCGAGTATACATATCTTACCTCGACAGTGTTCATTTCTTCCGCCCTAAATGCTTGAGGACTGCTGTCTATCATGAAATATTAATTGGATACCTAGAATATGTCAAGAAATTAGGGTAAGCCTTTAATCCTTCTTCCTATTTTACAGCATCCAGTAGTGTGCTAGGCACCTCTCAGTGCAGACAAAATGATATGGATCCTACCCTGAAGAGCATGCCATCTAATTTCAACCTGTGACATAATGGAAGGGGCAACAAAACCATGGGTTTAGGAGGAGGAAGGGGATATGACACTGCAGTGAGATTGTGGTTTCTCTGCAGAGACTTGTGGAGCAGTTTTTTTAGAGGTGTAAAAGACCTTAGAAGCAGGCCCCATGTATTATGCTACGTTCCCACCAAGGAATTTCCTTATCCCAGTGTCTGTAAAACTGCTATATGAAGCTCAGTCCACACCTTCACTTCATGCTGCTTTCTGTGTTTATGGGTGATGTCAGGTGCTCGTTTTCGGGAGGGGAGGACTGCTGCTAGCTAAGTTTCCTAAGGCTTGTCTTCACTAGCATGCTAAATCGGCACCAGTGCGATTTAGCACATCTGGTGAAGACGCACACATTAATGAGAGCATGCTCTCCTGTCAATGTAATTAATCCACCTCAACGAGAAGTGGAAGCTATGTCGGCGAAGAGCATCTCCCACCGACATAGCACAGTGTAGACACCACCTTAAATCTATGTAAGTTACGTCGCTGGGGAGTGGCTTTTTCACACCCTGGAGCGATGTAACTTACATTGACTTAAGTGGTTGTGAAGACAAGGCTCTAGAATGGGATGGGGGATCTGCAGAGGCTGTTCTCAGTGAAGCGAGGAAGAGTACTTATAACTGGAATTCTGAGCATATTGTCCACTCTCCTTTCCCTGGTTTTGGGAATCTTTCAAATTACCAATAGAGGGAAAGGAACTGAGGGCAAATTTGGCTTTGTGGTCCTATAGCCTTTCACAGTTATTACTTTCTAGATTATTTCAGGTTTTATGGTACTGAAAGACATGCTCCTTAGGAGCTATAGAGGAAATATACTTGGGAGAACTCCCAGGTATAGAGGAATTTTCTTCCTTTAATTGGGCTTGAAGGCAGAGGGAAAGGAATCAATGCTGGGAAAGTAAAGTAGGTTTCAGAAGACAAGTTAGTTTTTGGATCTCATCTGCTGGTAGGCAGCTCATCTGTCTTGCTGGGGAAGGAAAATCCTGGCTCCTAGTGTTGAAATGTTCCATTTCTTTGCTCTGAGAATTTACACTTCTCTCATCTAATTGTAATGCAGTTGGTAGATGACAGTTGCAAGCGTATGTCAGGCTTTAGTGATTTTACCTGTAGATGGGTGGGAAATGCTTTTTTGCTGCACAGAATAGGGCTGTGCATTAATTAGTAAAAATATGCATGCCTAAATTGTATGCATGTGCCAGTCAGAATACAACTCAGTGTTTTTATTAACAGTATCCATTGCTTATATATAGTGACAGCTCTAGAATTTAGATCAGGAAGAGGATTGCAGTAGTTGTCCATCTTGTAATACCAGCAGGCTTTGTGCTGGCTCCACCTTGTGGCTGAAAGGAATAGAAGACCCTAGTGATACACATCAGCATCCTGATGTATTGATGTTTTTTACAACGATAGATATACAACTGGACATATCTGGGCCTGCCCGCCTAGTGAAGGAGATGACTATATTTTCCATTGCCATCCTCCTGACCAGAAGATACCCAAGCCCAAGCGACTGCAAGAGTGGTATAAAAAGATGCTGGACAAATCTGTGTCGGAGCGCATTGTCCATGACTACAAGGTTGGTTAAATGTAAATTAGATTCAGTAGGATTTCGTGAGCAGTCTGTTTTGGTTCTCTTCCCACTGCTTGCCCTACAATGTAGGATTATTCAAAGAAATTTGTAAGGCATTAACTTGTGTTTTAGAACTGGATTGAGTATTTAGCAGTCTGGGGTTAAAATAAGTAAATCCTATCTAAACCACGCATCTTTTGAAGCCATTTTAGTAAAAGAGGTATGCGGTAATGTCACACCTTCCTTTGCTCCCAAAGAAATAGAAAATCAAAGATTCAGGCCATGAGAATACTAGAGAACAACAGCCAATATGGGACTGTCAGTATGAAGAACAGAGTTAATCTTTTGGGGATATTTTAGCGATTTAAAAAAAAGAAACCCAACATAAAGGGTTGGGCTGCTGATGGAGTTAGAAGGACCTAAAGTCTGTAGGTTTATGTTAACTTGAGATCAAGGGCTGTAGGAAGTGTTGGGATATTGCTGCTCTATCTAATAAATGTGGGGCTTGTAGTGACTGGCTAGCAGTCTACTGAGCTACTAATGGGTTTTTTTTCCTGTGGGGACTAAATGCCTGAATCATCGGCCCAAACTATCCATAATTGAAGCACCACTAAATGTGTCTTCAGTGCTTTTTTGCTGATGTCTTCAGTGCTTTTTTTGCTGTGTCTGAGAATAGGGTGCCCTGGTTCATTTGGATAGTTATGATAGCTATAACCGGGTTTGTATGTTTTTGTAGGATATTTTTAAGCAGGCAACAGAAGATCGTCTAACAAGTGCAAAAGAGCTGCCTTACTTTGAAGGGGACTTCTGGCCCAACGTGCTGGAGGAGAGCATTAAGGAACTAGAACAAGAGGAGGAAGAGCGGAAGAGAGAAGAGAACACTAGTAATGAGAGCACGGATGTAAGGAGACTCCTTTTACCTAACTCTTCATGATATTTCTCCATCTTTTCTTATATCTTCACTTAGTTTCCCTAGGTCCCTGGTGCAGAATTAAATGTTGTTAAGGCTTAAAACTTCCATTTGGGGGTGGTAATAACTGTCTTTAGGCTTATCTAAAATGCATGTTTATTTTGAGACTCAGCTCTCCCGCTTTCCCAGATGGTGCCCATTTCCCCCTCCTGTTTCCCTACCTGTAAGTTGAATTCTTGCTATCATTCTACTTAATTGGGAGCCAGAAAATCATTGTGTGGGAGCCTTAGAAACTATTCTCAGCCAGTTTATCTTCAGATTCAGGTGGACACATTGTGTCACTGGACTTTAGCCTTGGTTTGTCTTAATTGCTATGAGAGTGCTGTGTAGTGCAGAATGAGCGTAACAGTGAGTCCATGACTGACGTTTTTCATAGATTGCAAGGCCAGACGGGATGACTCTGGTCATCTAGTCTGACTTCCTATATAACCCAGGCCATAGAACTTCCCTAAAATAATTCCCAGAGCAGATCTTTTAGAAAAATATCCAATCTTGATTTAAAAATTGTCAGTGATGGAGAATCCACCACAATCCTTGGTAAATTGTTCCAATGGTTAATTACACCTTGTTTCAAGTCTGAATTTGTCTGGCTTCAACTTCCAGTCATTGGATCATGTTACACCTTCCTCTACGAGAGTGAAGAGCCCATTATTAAATATTTGTTCCCCATGTAAATACTATAGGCTGTAATCAAGTCACCCCCTTAACCTTTTCTTTGTTAAGCTAAATAGATTGAGCTCCTTGAGTCTATCACTATATAAGGCATGTTTTCTAATCCTTTAATCATTCTCGTGGCTCTTCTCTGAACCCTCTCCAATTTATCAAGATTCTTCTTGAATTGTGGACACCAGAACTGGACACAGTATTCCAGCAGCAGTCGCACCCAGTGCCAAATACAGAGGTAAAATAACCTCTCTACTCTACTCAAGATTCCCCTGTTTATGCATCCCAGGCTTGCATTTGCTCTTTTGGCTGCAGTGTTGCACTGGGAGCTCATGTTCATTATCCACCATGACCCTCAAATCTTTTTCAGTCATTGCTTCACAGGATAGAGTCCCCAACCCTTTAAATATTACCTACATTCTTTGTTCCTAGATGTATACATTTAGCCATATTAAAATGCATATTGTTTGCTGGTGCCCAGTTTATCAAGTGATCCAGATCGCTCTGAATCATTGACCTGTTCCCAGTTTTTGTCATCTGCAAATTTTATCAGTGATGATTTCATGTTTTCGTCCAGGTCATTGATAAAAATGTTAAATAGCGTAGGGCCAATAACAGTCCCTGCAGGACCCCACCGAAAATGCACCTGCTAGATGATGATTCCCTGTTTAGTTATATTTGGAGACCTGTCATTTATCCAGTTTTTAATCCATTTAATGTGTGCCATGTTAATTTGTCGTAGTTTTTGAATCAAAATGTCATGTTACCAAGTCAAATGCCTTGCAGAAGTTTATTACGTCAACACTACTATCTTTATCAACCAGAGTTGTAATCCCATAAAAAATATACCAAGTTTGACAAGATCTGTTTTTCCATAAACCCATGTTGAATTGCATTTGTTACATTACCTTCTTTTAATTCTTTACTAATTATCAGCCACTCCATTATCTTGCCTGGGATTGATGTCAGCCTGACAGGCCTGTGATTACCCGGATCATCCTGTTTACCCTTCTTAAAAATTGGCACAGCATTAACTTTCTTCTAGAACTTCCCCAGTGCTCCAGGCCTTATTGAAGAACGTCATTAATAGTCTATTGAGCTCCTCAGCCAGCTCTTTTAAAACTCTTGGATGCAAGTTATCGGGACCTGCTGATTTTAAAATGTCTCACTTCAGTAGCTCCTGTTTAACATCCTCGAGAGGTACTAGTGGAATGGAAAGAATACTTCTGACATTTCTGCATTATTCTTAATGATTCTACCATTTCCATCTAGTAATGGACCAATATCATTGTCCGGATTCTTTGTCCCTAAAACATTTTTACAAGTCCTTATTGTCCTTATCTCTGCTGGCCATAGATTTCTCCTTGTGCCCCTTGGCTTCCCTTATCAATTTTCAACCATTCCTAACTTCTGATATATATTCATTTCTATCACCTTTCCCTTCCTTCCGTTTGTTATATATTTTTTACAGCTGCCTTCATTTCCCCTCTCAATCAGATCGGTTTTTTACGCAGTACAGCCTTGTTTCTCGATTGTGGAATTGTGGCTTTCTATGCATCTAGTAAGGTGTTTTTAAATGATTCTGAACTGTCATTCACATTTTTCAGATTAAATTCTTCCTCCCAGCTGAGTTGGCTCATAATTGTGTTCAACTTTGTGAAATCAGCACCGTGTGTGTGTGTGAGAGAGAGAGATAGATATATATAGAGAGATAGATAGATAGATAAAAACTGGTCTGGCCTTTATTCTGCTTGCATATTATAAATGGGATCAAGTCATGATCACTTATACCTAAGCTACCATTATTTTTTAGTTCTGTGATCAATTCCTCTTTTTCTGTTAAGACGAGGTCTAATAAATAATTCGCCCAGGTCGGCTTGCAACATTTTTGAGTTTGGAAATTGACATCTATGATGTTTTGAAATTCCAAGGATGTTTTTAGTACTCGCAGCATAAGACCTCCAGCATATGTCACTCAAATTGAAGTCCCCCGTGATCACAGTTTTTTTCCGCCCCCCTACAGATCATAGAGAGGTAGATAAGGAGGCAGTCATCCTGTTCCCTTGTGTGATTTGGTGGTCTGTAGAAGACACCAACTGATACCCCACGTGTGCTTTATCTGTTAGGATATTGATGTATGAGCATTCAGGATCACTTTTGTCCAAGTTATGAGTGACTCAGAAACAGGTAATGCCATTTTCAACATAGGGTGCCCCTCCTTCTCCCCTTTTGCCCATTCAGTTCTTCCTGAATAGATTATAACCATTCATTTAACATTCCAGTCGTGAATTTCTGCGGTTATGTAGTCTTTCAATCTCTAACAAAGATGGTCTAAAAGTTGTAAGAGTCTAAGATCAATTGAGGGAGATCAGGGTTTAACTTGACCAGCTAATATCCACCCAGGATATTCTGGATCCTTGTTTGGGTTGGTTTTTTGAAGCTATGAAAATCAAGAAAGCATATCACTGAAACTAAGGCTAAAGCAAAAAGATCAATCAAGGCTAAATCAACAAGTTAGTAGATTTGAATTAAATGATCAAATTAGTCAAATCATCAGATTAATTCAACAAATAATTAGTCCTTATAAATCCAAAGAAGGGATCTACAGAGGTGGCTGTCAGTTCAGTTATAAACACCAACTAAGAATTTTACCAAGGTTTAGTCAGTCTGAACTTGGATCTGGTTAAATATTTGATACTGAAAACAAATTGTATAATTTCTAAACCACAACCAAATAAAAGCTTCCTCTTTAGATTTCAATTCTCTTAGTTCAGTTCAATTCAATTAGTAGTAGCTAATCCTCCCTCCCTCCCTCCCACCCCCTTCAAAAAAAAAAAAGCAACTAAAATACAGGTTTCTGCAGAATACTTTGATAAGCAGAAGTCTGACAACCCTGACTTAGCAGTTTACATACCCTAGTTTACAGCTGTCAGTTTTAAATTGCTTAGGACTTGGAAGACTGAAGTTGCTTTAATGAGTATTTTTGAGACTTTGTTGTAGGGTTATTTAAGCCTGTGGAACTTACTTTCTGGCAGCTTCCCAGGGTCGACTTGACTGATGCTCATGTACTTAGCTACTTTTTTACACCCTAAAATTAAAGAATGAAAAAGGCTGGGATGTCTCCCAGCTAATAAAAGTAAAAGACAAAAATAGAAAAAGGGAAAAGATACTTAAGATAACAGAGGGTTTGCGTAGTATTCTAGGCTCTTCAGAAATAGAAGCGGGAACTGCAGTCATGGGGCCAGACAGCGATGTTGCTGACAGTGCTGCTTGCTAGCAGGCTTTTTCACATACAGGTAGACTGGCCAAAGCCCGGCATATTTGTTGATGTTGTGACGTCCTCCCCCAGAGGTGATAAGTCTTGGGATTCTAGAACTTTAGTCTTTCCTCAGGTGACTTGCTGATCCTAAAGGCAAGACTTCTCAGTCTTACCCTTAATTCTTATGGTATTCCTGTGCCGCCTTGCAGCACCTTCCTCCAAGGCCTTTGGACAAAGCAGATGAGTCTTCCCTTGAAGCCATGCCGCTTGATATGATTGTGTTTGAGTTAGGTCATCTTTTTGGCTAGCATCGGGGGGAGGGAAGAGAGAGTGAGTCTTGCTGAAACCAGCAATTTTTTTTTATAAGTGTACAGTTTTTTCATTCAGGGAACATCCCGACACCACCAAAAATATCAAATACGCTTCTAAAGAAGCTGACATGGCCTTGTCCAGGTGAAAGGGTCTTGAGATGGCATTATGCCAGCAGTTTATGGAAGGTTCAGCACCAAATAAGTGTGAATATCTTAGGGCCAGATCTCACCTTTCTTCTTGCAAACAAGACAGTTTAGTAATCTTTATTTAGGAATTGGGGATTATATCAAATAGCTTCTTTTTGGAAATTTTCATCTTGACAAAGTTACTTTAAAGTTTATCAGAATAAAACCCACTGAAGAAATAAAGTTTAAAGTCTGTATTCCCATACCCAATTTCTCACATAAAGTACATAAAAAGCATCTACAAAAGGGACTAGAAGGCATGACTACTCATTAGTGAGCTGTGATCACACTAGACTAGAAATGAAACTGACTTTTGTCAGTTTCAATTGAAATTGTCACCCCTTGCAGCTTCCATTATCCTCACATACACATGTTAATCAAGATCAAAGTGGGAGTAAATCCCATTTCTTGGACATAAAGACAAAACTTGGTATAAACCTCCGTTGGAGGCAGTCTAGGGAGATGAGTTAAGCCGGAATAAGTGGTTAGGGAGGCTTTGTTGGTGGGAAGATAACAGAAATGAGAGAGTCCTTAAAGTCACTTGAACTGTCTACTCCTTCCCCAGGTCTCTGGACAGTGCACTATCATTCCTTATGTGTTCTTCAGTGACTTCTCCAGCTTTAAATGTATCAAGGTTGTTTGTTACATTCCATGGAGATGATTCCACAATCTAATAGAGCTCACCATTAGAGAACCTTTTTCTGATTGGCCGTCTTTGATTAATTTTATCCCTTTTCTCTGTTTTACCCCTTCAGTCCAACCTAAACAAATATCTCTTTTGGGTGTTTACACTCTTCAAATACTTTTTAGATGGTTATATTGCCACTCTGGCATCTTTGGAATGACTCTGATCAAATTAATTCAGACTTCCAGGACAGTTGGTAAGAACATTTTGCTAGCTTCTTAGTAAATTGTGAAAGCTTTTCTTATAGTTCTCCAATGACTGGAGGTGCTAGCCTAATAAAGTGCTTTAAATTTTGATATACTGATTTACTGTCTTTTTAAATAATTGTCAGAGGCACCTAAATGCCTCTTATTATTCTACAAATTCAAAGTTATCGGCTTCTCTGGCAGGTGAGTAAGGGAGACAGCAAAAATGCCAAAAAGAAGAATAATAAGAAGACAAGTAAAAACAAGAGCAGCTTAAGTCGTGGCAATAAGAAGAAGCCTGGCATGCCCAATGTCTCCAACGATCTCTCCCAGAAGCTGTATGCCACTATGGAGAAGCACAAAGAGGTAAAAGCCGTTGGATTGAGAAGTATCTACTGTTTGAACAGCCAAGTGCACAAACACTGAATATAGAATTTAGTAAGAGTACGTATTTGTAGATGGAATCCCCATCTAGACGCTTTCCCATCAGGGCTATGGGAATAAATACAGATCACAGTTGTGCTGTGTAGAGAACTTTCATAAGTAAAAGTCTTTGCTGTGCCAGATTGGACCATGGGCCCATTTAGTTCAGTGGTCAGTATTTGCATCAGAGGAAAGCGGGGGGGGGGGCATAGTGCACTTGGTGAATTATGTAGTGTTATATGTGCAGAAGTGGAAATTCCTTCATGACCCATGCAAGTAGTCTGCTTGATGCGAAGCCATCCCACCCATCACAGCGTGCTAACATCAGTAGTCATGAAATGACATTTACCATGTAGTTAAGGTTGATGGCCTCTTGGTCAACTGCTGATTTTAACTTCTGCTTTACTTTTCAGGTCTTCTTTGTGATCCGTCTCATCGCTGGCCCTGCAGCGAACTCCCTGCCTCCCATTGTTGAGCCTGACCCACTCATTCCATGTGACTTGATGGACGGGCGTGATGCCTTCCTCACCCTTGCTAGAGACAAGCACCTGGAGTTCTCCTCGCTACGAAGAGCTCAGTGGTCAACCATGTGCATGCTAGTGGAGCTGCATACCCAGAGCCAGGACCGCTTTGTTTACACCTGCAATGAATGCAAGCATCATGTAGAGACCAGATGGCACTGCACTGTCTGTGAGGTATGCCTAATAAGGTGTTTTTTCCCCGCTAGCTCTGGGCACCAAGGTTAAGGAGACTCTTCACCTAAAGTCACTTCTAAACCTACATTCATAGCAATGTCTGTCCAGTCTACATTGTGACAGTTTGGAATGGGGGGTGTTAAGTGTGCTAGCCTGAGTGACAAGTAGCTGTGCTGCTGTATGCCCCCAAAGGCTACAATCACTTTAACCATGCCTATTTCATTTAAATCTTCACTCCTCCACCAGTAAACTGACTGTGCCCTAAATTCAGTTCTGAGAAACTGCAAATATAATTTGACATTCTGCCTCCCACATACACCTAAATAACCAAATTCTGGGTTCTCGAGTTAGTGAATTCTGGTAGTTTTCTTTTCTTAACTAATTTTAGGAATACCAGGCCCCCTACCATTTGGCAGGACTTCTGTCCTCCTCAGAATTTCAAAGCCCCTTTACCTCCCATCTGTTCTCCATGTGGCCCCTCTGCTTTGTGCTCCCCTTGCTCACTGGGAAAAGCAATCTGCTCCTCCCTCTCCCCTTCTTAAAGAAGTGGCACTATTGTGCCCCACTCCTCTTTTGAAGAAGAGCAAGCAGATGAGTGGCTACTCTGTTCCCTGAGCTTCTCCTTCCCTCTGGGGAAGGAGCCAGTGGTCCCCTGACCCCACTTGGTCAGGTGAGATTTCTACTGGCTCAGGGCAAACAGGTTTTCCAAGCCATGGCTATTGGTCTGTATAAATGTCAGATACTGTTTTGCCCACACACTTTTCACTGTTACTTGTTTGGACTTCTGCCAATACCTGGGCACAGGGGACATTATAAATTACCTGAAAGGAAAATATAAAATTATGAGTGATACTTTTCAGATGATCCAAAGACTGGGAGAGTGGTAAATAATGGCCGTCACTGGTCATAGGGGACTATCTTGGGAAGCAATCACTCTGAAAAAGACTTGGGCATCATGGTGGATAATCATCTGAACATCAGCTCCCAGTGCGATGATGTGGTCAAAAGAGCTAGTGTGACCCTTGGATGTATAAATGGGAATATGAAGCAGAGGGAGTTTTATTCTTTGGCACTGGTGGGGCTGCTGGAATATTGTATTCAGTTCTACCATCCACAATTCAAGAAGGAAAGTGATATATTGGAGCGGGTTCAGAGAAAAGCCACAAGAATGAATAAAAGATTGGAAAATATGCTTACAAGCAGCTCAGTTTATTGAGCTTAACGAAAAGATGTTTAAGGGGTGACTTGATCAGTCTAGAGCTACCTATGTGGAGAACAGAAATGTGATGAGTGCCCTTCAATTTAGCAGGCAAAGATATGAGATCCAATGCCTGGAAGTTGAAGCTAGAGAAATCTTCACTAGAAATAAGATGCCAATTTAAGGACAGTAATTAGCCATTGGAACAGTTTAGCACGGGTTGTGATGGATCCTCCATCACAGCAAACTTTGAAATCAAGACTGTTTTCCTAAAAATAGTGGTCTAGTTGAATAGACATTAATCCAGGGAAGTGGTATGTCCTGTGTTACACAAGAGGTCAGACTAGATGATCACAATGGTCCCTTCTGGCTTTATAATCAACAAAGGCCAATTTTTCCCCCTCCCCCATCACAGTCCATATCCCTTGAGTGAGATGACCCCATTTGTATATTTATTATGCCAGGTTATGTAGACATCTGTTTAATTTTCAAAATGTTGTCTGTTTCCAGGATTACGACCTGTGCATCACCTGTTATAACACTAAAAACCACGACCACAAGATGGAGAAATTGGGCCTTGGCCTAGATGATGAGAGCAACAACCAGCAGACTGCAACCACCCAGAGCCCTGGTGACTCCCGCCGCCTGAGCATCCAGCGCTGTATCCAGTCCCTTGTCCATGCCTGCCAGTGTCGTAATGCCAACTGTTCACTGCCATCCTGTCAGAAGATGAAACGAGTTGTCCAACATACCAAAGGCTGCAAGCGCAAGACCAACGGAGGGTGCCCTATTTGCAAACAGCTCATTGCTCTTTGCTGCTACCATGCTAAGCACTGCCAGGAGAACAAGTGCCCGGTGCCCTTTTGCCTCAACATTAAACACAAGCTTCGCCAACAGCAACTTCAGCACCGTCTGCAGCAGGCCCAGATGCTCCGAAGGAGGATGGCAAGCATGCAGAGGACCGGTGTGGTAGGTCAGCAGCAAGGATTGCCTTCACCAACACCAGCCACACCAACAACTCCAACAGGCCAGCAACCCCCAACACCACAGACCCCACAACCCCAGCCACCACCCCAGCCTGCCTCGCAACCCCAACCTGCACCTCCCAATACTATGCCGCCCTACACCATGCCGAGAACTCAACCCCCTGGTGCTGTGTCCCAGGGCAAAGCAGGTGGCCAGATAACTCCTCCAACTCCACCTCAGACTGCTCAGCCACCAGTCCAGGGTCCTCCTCCAGCTGCAGTAGAAATGGCCATGCAGATCCAGCGAGCAGCAGAGACTCAGCGTCAGATGGCACAAGTTCAGATTTTCCAAAGGCCAATTCAGCACCAGATGCCCCAACTGAATCCGATGCCACCAATGGGGATGAACCCTCCCCAGATGGCCAGAGGGCCTGGCGGTCACATAGACCAAGGGATGGGGCCAGCAGGAATCCAGCAGCAGCCACCGTGGGCCCAGAGTGGGTTACCCCAACCACAGCAGCTCCAGCCAGGAATGCAGAGACCATCCATGATGTCAGTAGCCCAGCCAGGGCAGCCTATGAACATGGCGCCTCAGCCAGGAATGGGTCAGGTTCCTGGTGCGCCTCAGCCAAAACCAGCATCTCTGCCCCAGGCAGCCTTACAAAACTTACTGCGGACTCTCAGGTCTCCCAGCTCCCCCATGCAGCAGCAGCAGGTGCTTAACATTCTCCACTCCAACCCTCAGCTACTGGCTGCTTTCATCAAGCAGAGGGCCGCCAAGTATGCAGTGTCTCAAAATCCACAAGGTATGCCAGGGCAGCCTGGAATGCCACAGGGGCAGCCAGGGCTTCAACCACAGCCAGCCATGCAAGGGCAGCAAGGAGGGGTGCACCCAAACCCAGCCATGCAAAATATGAACCCCATGCAGGCCGGGGTCCAAAGGCCCAGCATGCCCCAACAGACGCAGCAGCAGCAGCCTCAGCAGGCCATGGGTGGGATGAACCCTCAGGCACAGCCGATGAACATGAATCACTCTGGGATGTCTCCGCAATTCCGGGATCTTCTAATGAGACGGCAGCAGATGATGGAGCAGCAGCGCCATCAGCAGCAGCAGCAGCAAGGAGCAGGCCCGGGGTTGGGGCCCGGGATGGCCAACCATAATCAGTTTCAGCAGCCCCAGGGTGTCGGTTATGCGCAGCAGCAGCAGCAGCAGCAACAGCAAAGGATGCAGCATCATATGCAACAGATGCAGCAAGGAACTATGGGACAAATGAGCCAGCTTCCACAGGCAATGAGTGCAGAGACAGGAGCCAGTTTGCAGCAGGCTTTCCAGCAGAGGCTACTTCAGCAGCAAATGGGATCCCCAGCTCAGCCCAACCCTATGAGCCCCCAACAGCACATGCTCCCCAGTCAGGCCCAGTCCCCACACTTACAGGGCCAGCAGATCCCTTCATCGCTCACCAATCAAGTGCGTTCTCCACAGCCTGTACCCTCACCACGACCCCAGTCCCAGCCCCCCCATTCCAGCCCTTCCCCTCGGATGCAACCTCAACCTTCTCCACACCATGTCTCTCCGCAGACCAGCTCCCCACATCCAGGACTGGTAGCTGCCCAGGCTAACCCCATGGATCAGGGGCACTTTGCCAGCCCGGACCAGAGTGCAATGCTTTCTCAGCTTGCTGGCAATCCAGGCATGGCAGGCCTCCATGGTACAAGCGCCACGGAACTGGGGCTCAGCTCCGATAACTCAGACTTGAATTCAAACCTTTCACAGAGTACACTAGACATACACTAGACACATTGTAGCATTTTGGGAGCAAAAAAAAAAACTTATTTTCTCAAGACTTTTTGTACTGAAGACAAATTTTTTTGAATCTTTCTTAGCTAAAACAACATTTTTCCCTGGAACACATCCGAACTCTGCAGCAGTAGTTTGTGGTTTTAAAAACAAGAAACCAACAAAATAAACCTGAGGGACAATAGAATACAAAGAATATATTTTTGTTATGGCTGGAATCATAACCAGTCCTTTTTCTTGTTTTTCCTCGCATGCGTGCGTTGGGAGGTGGAGGGGAAAAGGGTGGTCTTTTGGCCGCTGACTAAATTGGCCCCCTTCTCATGCCTCCAATAGGTTTTATTTTTTTTTTAAATTAATGAAAATATGTAATATTGATAGTTATTATTTACTGAGGCAGATGGTTAACATTTTCCCTATTCTGGTTTTTCTTCATCACTGCAAAAAACCCACAGGAGAACATTTCCTAAAACCGGAGGACAAAAGGGGTTAATGTTGCTTTAAAAATACATTACATATATATAAATATATATTAAAAATAAATACCAGTTTTTTCCTCTTTGGTTGGAAAGATGTCAATTCTTTGAAAAAATGTAAAAATATTAAATAACCCAGTCCCCTCCTGAAGTCTACTTTTGTCCTCCAAGAATTTTCTATACAAGAGTCTGAGCTTAAAAAAAAACTTCAAGTATTAAAATAATTTGTACAACATTTTTGCAAATACACAGGGGCAGCTGCCAAATGGATGTAGTATATATATTGTGGTTTCTGTTTTCTTGAAAGAATTTTTTTGTTATTTTTACATCTAACAAAGGAAAAAAAATAAAAAAGAGGGTAAGAAACAATTCCGAGAGGATGATTTTAACCTGAGAAAAGTCCCTGGGGTTTCTTCTTTATGCTTGCTTTCTCTCTCTCTCTCTCTCCCCTTTCCCCACCCTCTTCCACTTTCTGTAAAACTTGAAAATAGAAAGCAAAAAACCCTCAAATGTTGTAAATCATGCAATTAAGGTTGATTACTTATAAATACGAACTTTCGATCACTGTATAGACTGTTAAAATTGATTTCTTATTACCTATTGTTAAATAAACTGTGTGAGACAGACAGCCTGCTTTTTACTGCTTCCCTTCTCCTCTCTCCCACCTATGGTGCTTATTTTTAAAATGGTGAGGACAGCGGAGTATATGCTGCTTACACTTTTGGTGGTCAGAAGTTGGAGAATTATTTAATGTACATCTGTTTTTGCCATTTTTTTAAAGCAAATTTACAGTCTGGGGTTGTTTATAATTAGCATTAGAAATGCACATTTTGGTAAGACTCTGTAATTGTATCTGCTCACTCTGTAATTTACCAAAACAAGACATGGTCCCCCTCCATTACACAGCTGCCATCCCAGCCTGATGGGTTCCAGTTGGTGTGTTTGACTAGGTTAGCATCTTAAGTTCCACAGGCCGCTCCTTAAATGAAACCCAAACTTCTGCTTGGGTGATACAAAATTGAAAGACCACATTCCTGTTGGAGTACCCTGGAGAGCTTTTTGTGCCAACATTGTGACTGTCAACACTTGGAGCTGGGTGTGTGATTCTCAGCTTGCGTAGATGAACCCACACTGGCTCTGCTCAAGCTAGTGCACTTAAAATAGCAGTGTACCGGGGTAGCACAGGCTGCGGCTCAGGCTGGCTGCCCAGGTACAGAGCCAGGGGATCCTGTTGGGGATGTCTTCAGGGCAGCTAGTCTGAACCGACACCACTTCTATCCTGGCTATGCTATTTTTAGCAGGGTAGCTTGAGTACAACTATGTGTGTTGGGTGTCGCAAACTCAGCTCCCAAGTGTAGGTGTAGCCTATGGGTCAAACTGGAGGAATAAGGTGTTGTGGGTAGTGAGTTGTGAGAAAAGACTGAAAGAATGAACGTTGTTTGCCACAAGCTATGGGAAGGCAGGGGAATAGGATGGCTACTTGGAAGTATTTGAAAGGTCTAAATACCAACAAGGAAGAGAAATACAGTGTAGAAATGAGTATAACTTGGGCTAAAAGACAATAATACACCTACTAGGTAGAGACTACATGAAAGCTGGTGGGGAGCCCTCATTAGGGTCCATGGAAAGCACTCCAGTGAGAAGCTTGGGATTCTCTCAAGTATTGTTAATACAGATCACCACTCCTGAACTGTATCTACAAATTCCACACCAAGCCAGAATTCTCCAGCCTGTTAATGCAGGCTTTCTGTTGTGCCATGGAAAGGTGCAGGGCAGATTGGAAGGAACTAAGGCTGCATACACATACGCCGGAACTCCTCCTCATCCCTCAGCCTCTAATGACAAGGTGCAGTTTGCTTCCTCCTCCAGCTAACCCTAGTTCCATAGTAAATACTCAGTTTAGTGTTAATTTGTATTTCTTTGCTAGGGATTTCAGTTCCAGGAACTATTTTGCTTGATCCCAACCTTCTTCCAAGGATGATGGCTCTGGCAAAAGTTTAGAGTGCCCGTTTTCTAACCTAAAATTTCCAGTCTGTCCCGCAGGGCCAGTGCCTGTAGAGGCTTCAGTGAAGACTGTTTCCTTAGCTAGTGCTAAATCTTCCCTAAATTTACACCCTGGGTAGGCAATGATCAGTCTCTAATCTGATCCATTATGGGGGTCAGAGGGAGGGAGACCCCAAGAGCTTCAGGGTGGATTTGAGTTGTGACCAGCTTTGGCTCGCCTTCAAAATCCCAGCAGCAGGTTGTCACGGTCATGGATCTGCAAGGTTTGGTGTCTGCCCCAGCATGTAACCAGCCCCTTGGGGGCTGAAGGGGTAACTCCCCAGGATCCAAACAGTTCCACAGGGAAAGGCCCATATCCTCTGAGACAGGGCCTTTGGGGGCCGGGGATTCCTATTTTTCTGTGGCTTCCTGCAACAAGTCCAGCTGAGCTAGGCTCCTGTGGGAGGCTTGTTGTTCACCCCTGGAGGGAGCAGTGCTTTGATAGATATTTGTAGCAACTCCAAGCCAAGTATCCTGGCATACAGCATCTGAAAGTCCATAGGTCAGCATCAAGAAGCAAAGGTTAAGACAGAGTTCAGACATGAGCATCAGCTCCCTGAGTCATGCCGCTGTAGAAGCCAACTCTGCTTCCTTTCTCTTCTTCTTCTTTGTCCCCATCCCAGGGGAGAGCACAGCTCTTAACACAGCATGTGATGCCTTTCCCCTTTGCTCTCCAGTATGGGGCCAGTTTGCCTGCAGGGGAGGTGAGAAGAATGTTGGTGGCTACGTGTCAATGTCCGGGCCATTGGGGTTTCCTTTGTGTCTTCTGGCTCCTCCATTCACAGGTGTAGACTTTATTCAGTTTAATGGCACTGATATCCAGACCGACCATTGCAAGATTCCAATACCTTGCCCCTTCCCTTTGCACTTAGTGCATAGCAATACAAAGCCCAGAGAGAAACTGAGGTGCTCATAGAAATAAAAAATACTACCAAAATTCCCACATTCATCACTGTTACCAAGTGTGTCTGTAGGCCACAGGGGGCTTTGGCTTTACTGCCATGCAGAATTGCATCTACCTCCCTCTTTCCTCCTCCTTTCCTGGATTCTAACCTAGCGTGAAGGTATTACTTTGCTAAGTTAGTAGTACAGGATGTCTGGCAGATACTGCTAGAGAATTGGAAACTGTGATTAGGAAAATCCTGTGTAGCAGCAAGAGGAAAGTTTTCTATGTGGGCAGCACAGATAGAAATAGACTATCTGTGTCAGCACCTGTCCTGGGCACTATGAACTGTAAGGCAGTAGGGCTGCTAAGTAACTTTCCTTCAAGGGGGGAGAAGTTTGTTTGTCCATGCTTGCCTCACAGCATTTGAAAGGGGCCATTTAACATCCCACCTCTGTGTTCCCAATGCCCTTGAAAGGCTTCTCCCTCATCCTAGCCAAGCTGCTGGTGTCTATTTCAATCTCAAGGAGAATGTTCTGTCCCTGGCTTGGAAGCCTGCATTCCTTGTGACTGGAGAGTCCAGAGCGCCAGGCTGTAGGCCTGCTTAGGGAGTGCTTCCCAAAGATGCAGTGGTGCTGCAGCCTCCTGCAGAAAGTGGCCTCAAACTTCAAGCTGAGTAAGACCAATGCACTGTGGGGTTGGGTCAGGCTATCAAGGCTAAGCGGCTGGAGGTGCCCTTTTAGCTACTAACCTAATGGGACAAAATCCTTCAATAAATCTCTCAGATAATTCTTGGGTTAGTCATGTGCAGACATATCCTCTTCCACCTGCTGCTTTTTGCTTCATGGCCCTGGGATTGCTGGAGTTTCGTTTAAAAGTGAAATGTGTTTGGTGTTACCTGCCTTTGCAAACACAGCTCTCCTTTTGGGGTTGCTCTGGTATGACCACAACCAGTGTATCAGCAGCAACTGCAGGAACACATCCATCCCAGTGCTGCACCTTTGAGCACTCACCACACTGAAGTGGACTGATATTGAGAGATGCTGGTCAGTAAGATCCTATACATCTGAAAACCTTGGCCCTGGTGTATTGTCCTCCCTATGTTCTATTTGTTCCAAAGGGGTTGAGTTACACATTTCATTAGTTTAAAGCTATTTGTCAATAAGCCTAAAGCTTAAACCTAAAGCTATTTGTCAATAAGCCATCTCACCTCTAATGTCTGAAACTATTTTGATGTATATGTCATTAGGGATCCATTTAACGTGATCTTCAGGGCCATTATTTTTTTAAACTCCGCTAACATGCTTCCGTGCTAATCTGTAGTCACCTGTGTTGACTGCATGCCCTAAACTAACCCTAGTCAGAGTATATACACACAGTAACACAATAACATGCTTGCTTGTCTACCAAGTGTGAACGTCTGCTGTGTAATTCACACACTTCCTGGAGGAGGCATTTGCAAGTGACTGTGCTTCGCTACTCACTTTGTTATTAATCCATTGTTGTGAGCTGGAATAATAGCCAGAGATGCAGTTAGGCGCCCATGAGGTGCAGTGGGGTATCTTGCAAGCTGACTGCTCTCACTGAATTCTGTTCTGTTCAGAGTCAATATTGTATGAATGTTAACAATCAGTTTAAAGAAGCCGATCTTAGCTGAATTCAGAGTTATAAGGCTCTTCTATCACTGCCTTTTCATTATTTTGGCCATGCAAGCATGATATAGGATTGTCTGTTTCTTTGGGTGGGGGATTGTTGTAGGGGTGGTGATACCTGGCATTGTCAAATACCAAAATAAGGATTTTTAAATGCATGCAACTCCCCTTACAGAAGGTGAATGTGTGTGTTTCACATATAATGTATAGGTGGGAGGCCCTGTACACATGGCCAAAAAGCCCTTTGCAAAAATCTTTTGCATCTTCTCTCTGCATCTTCGTTCTGTTAGCTTCTTTTTTTTTTTTAGGCCACAAAGGACCACATAGACTAGATGATCAATCCTGTATATCACAACTTATAGGATTTCACCCAGCAGTTCCTGTATCCCACCCAATAACTGCTCTTTGAGGTAGAGAAGAGAGAGAGAGAGAGCACACGTGCCAGTCTGGATTTAAAGATGTGTTGTTTAGCACTTTCACTGCACATTACACAACAAAGCCCTCTCCAGCCCTTGAAGAAGGGATTCATGGAGTTTATTTAGCTTTCTGGATTTTTACATTAATAACTTGGATGAGTGGATGCCATTTTTCTGGAAGGATACTGTGCCCGAATGAAGATCTTTATATTGTGTTAGTAGCTAGAGATTTCCCAGCATGGATCAGGGCTCTATGGGGCTAGGAATGGGATTTTTTTTTAATATTCCCATCCCAAAGAGCTTCCAACCTTGGCATATAATGAGACAACCGGTGTATTCAACAGACAAATGAAGAGGGGGACAAGGTGACAGTCAAGAGACCTTATTTAGTATAATAAATGCCACTGGCAGCACCCAAACTGGCTAGTGGAGCTAAGCTGCTGGAGGAGAGGAGTTTGGGCTCAATTTTTTTTTTAATCTCTTGTTTAAATGCCTCACAAACACCACCACACCTTAGACTAAGGGCTGGGAGAGCGGCTGCTGGCTTCTCCAAGGAACAGCTGCTATTTCTAAAGTTTTGGGGGTTTTTTTGTGTTTTGTTTTTTAAAGTTGGAATGTCTGATGTTTCTGAGGC